AGATGCTCGATTGGTCACACCAAGCGTTCAGAAATTCATACGAAAGTTGTCGCCTAAAGGGGGTTTTACATGCTGCAAGAGTACCTGCAAGTCGGTGCAAGTTGCAAGAACTCTTGCAAAAGGCATGCGCAGTTGCAACCCAGCTGATGACAAGTCGCAAGACTTCTTGCAATTGCAACTTATCGGTTCTGTTCGATATTTCTGCAAGTGCAAGACTCTGCAAGACTATTTTTGGGGGAAAATTTGGTAATTTTTGGCATGCCAACTTTCAATAAAAGTTACTACTTTTGAAATTATGTTTATATTTTATAGATTAATAAGGATAGATTAGGTATACCTACTTATATCAGAGCCGTGTTTGAATCAACTATCAACTTAAAATACAAATAAATCTAAGTAGAGATCATTTTATTTAATTATACAACACTGAAAATAATCTACTTTTATAGGTAGATAGATACCTCGGTAGGTACCTAGGTTTCATAGGAAACAATAATGATATTAGGTAGGCACCAATGACATTATCTGTTTGAATCAATTTTAATTTTCAATATGCAGGTAGAGATATTTTATTTTATTATACTGAGAATCATCAACACGTAGGTATCGACGTATCGTAGGCAAATACAATGGTTTCTTGTTAGTGGAGGCACCAATAATGATGCAAAGACTAGCAGCAATAACCTTTTTTCTATTTCTACTATTAATTTTTGAGATACAATACGATTCATTTTTTACATACAACAAAAGTAATAGTAAACAAGTACCAACTACCAACACCAACAAGAATAGGTATTGAAAAGTAAGTTTCTGTTTTCCTATAATTTTTTTTTCTTTATGTTGGCAGAAGAAAGCAATTGAAAGATTTCAAAACACATGTAAAACCAAACCGCAAGACGGCGCAAGAAATCTTACAGAAAGAGTCTTGCAGGTACTTGCACTTGCACCGTCTAACTGCAAGATTTATTGCAGCATGTAAAACCCCCTTAAGAATTGTCATTTCAGTCACACCCATAAAATCGCACTCACACCCGGTGTGTTATTTCTGAACTCGCCCCTGATGAGCATATCTTTCATAAGCCGCTTTCCAGCTGTGTGCGTCAAGCACGGTGCAGCACAGTGTTCTGTGTTTGAAAATGGTTAGCTGGAAAGCGGCTATGATGACCAATTTAAAAAGTGATACTTCTCTCAAATTTTGACATGTGCAGTATTTTCTTCACAACTTTTATAACTGTTAAAAAAGAAATCGAATTCCATTTGTCGAACCGACTCAGACCATCCAACACGATACCGTTGTAAGGAGAGGAACAGCTCGAACAGCCGACATTTATTCACTTTTGCTCGGCTGTACATTCCAAGTTCAAAGAGTGGTTCAGTTGAACTCTACTGATACTTATTAGGGCGGGTATTATAAAACTACTTTGGGAGTTAACTTCTGGAATTACATGTAAATCAAAAAGTTTACTTCAAGTTAACTGTCGAAGCAGTTTTATGATACCCGCCCTTAGGTACGTTACCAATTAAAATGCATTGCTGTCAGAAATATGCATGACAGGGCATTTCAAATAATAATAATAACAATAATAATAATAATAATAATATTAATATAGTTTATTTGTAGTAATGAAACATTGCAAGTTATGGAATTGTTTTCACATTCTAAAGCTGGATTTATACAGGAAATAAAATAAAATAAAATAAGAAATAACATAACAAATAAGCAAAATAAGAAATAAGGCGTTTATACAGAAAAATATAAATTAAAATTACAATTATTTTGAACCAATCACCACACGCCTGAACTGTCATCGGTCTAATCTAATGGACGTCGTGACATGCGCAAATAGCATTTTCACATAAAATAAAATAAGAAGTTAAAAGTTCACCAACTTTTTATTTTTGCTTATTTCTTATCTTATTTTATTTGTGTGTATAAACGCCACCGTGGGTTCTCATGAAGCCATCTTTTAATTTTATATTATTTCTTATTTTATGTTATTTTATTTCCTGTATAAAGCCTAGTACTCATAAATGCGAAATTCGCATTTTTTTGACATATCTTCGACAATTTGACGTTTGATACACACATAAAACGTCAAATTGTCAACGCAATGTCAAAAAAAAAGGATTTCGCAGTTATGAGTACTAGGCTTAAATCCAGCTTAAATTACAGACTACTACAAAATGGGGTCAAAAGGCAGTAATAGTGATGCTAAGTTTTGACCCCAGTAGAGTAGAAATCAAACGAGAAGAAGCCACACGCGTTATCGTTTGTCTCACTTTAAATGGCAGGGACCCAGAGAAAAGGAAATCTGCTTTCTTTGTCAGCTCTAACGACAGTGGCTTCTTCTCGTTTAATTTTCTCTCTATACTAAACTAAATAGAACGTGCGTATTTAAAAATACCCATATTATCAATCTCAATTAACAAATTAATAGTGTTGTGCTTATATATATACTAGGGGGAATGCGTAAAAATGAATGGGAAGGAATGCAAATATAAAGAGTGATACCACTTAACAACGGAGAACTATCATTGACGGGTCAGAAGATATCTATATGTTTTTCGGAAGACATTCAAATTTAAGCTTTTGAGCTCTGTCGGAATATTATTACACATCAAATAAATGTTAAATGTAAAGCATCTTTCGAATCGAAAAGTTCAAGTTAAGTTCAGGTACCAACTACAGTATAAAGTCCAGCTGAAACTCTGTTTAAACCTGGACTGAACAACTGGGTCTGAGCGGTACTTTCTGCCCCGAGTTCAATCAGTTTCGCACCTGCTCCCAGGGCTCGTGGAGGCATGGAACTTTCTTGTCCTGTCATTTGTCGTCTTGTTTTTTGGGTCCATATAAACCAAGGATAATACACACTAGTACAACTGGATTGCTTATCGGCCTCGTTTTTGGTAATCGCGGTCATCCTGGTGTAGCACCATTGCAGACGTCATTAATTAACTCGTCAGCAGTTTGCGGTTTGCGCCAACGGTCGTCGTTAAGAATTTAAATTTATGATGAAAAATATTATTTAATTTTGATCAACATTAATATAATAGGCAAAGAGGAAGATGCAAACGAGATTTAAAAAAGAGTTGTTTTAGAATGGTAATTAATGTAGTAAAAGTAAAACCAAGTATGCATAAAGGCCCGCGGAATCAAAACCTGCGGTGCAAACGACGGCGAGAAACGACACGCTCCTCATGACAACACTGTTGCTTTGGCATGGTGGGGGGCTTGAGATTTTGAACTACACAGGCCTTATGAGGATAATCTATCCCGAGCCGTCGGGTGTGACTGTGTGTATTATCCTTGCATATAACCAATCAAATCCAAATATTTTTTCTATTTTTATTTTATGTAGGGTTGACAAACTATCGAAAAAAAAACTATCGATAGTGATATCGATAGAATGGCCTACTCATCGATAGTAACTATCGATTGTACTATCGATAGTTTGCTCTGACCAAAGTAACCAAATTTGTAATTAATTACGATAAACATTAACCTCCAACCTCCATTAGTCCATCAAAGTCACTCGTCATTAGGCAATTCAAACCACGTGACATTCAAGATGGCGTGGCGTCCATACATGGGCCAAAAAACACAAAAAAAGTAGGGAGTGAATTCTGCGCCTACCGGTAGGTGCTGTTTGTTTCATTGATTGTGTGCCTACCGTTTATGTATACCGCGAAAACTTTATGGTAGGTCCCCAATTGGCACATGACATGATATAACGCCTATCGGTAGGTACTCTTTGTTGAAAGAATCCTGAGCCTACCGGTAGGTTCATATTAATTCAAGAATCCGTCGCCTACCCTACCTATCTAACCTAACTATACCTGCATTTACAAGAAGGTGACACTCGTCGCCCTAGTTGTGAATGGTCGTAATCCACAAAATGTTCATTCTTGAGTTATTAACACTGTTGTTACTGTTAACATACTTAAAAATGTTTAAAGTTCATGTTGGCGAATAGATCTAAGCCAGTGATCAATATTTGACCTTATTTGAAAATTATTTTCCAAGTTTTTGGTGGATTTATGCTTCCGAGGATCTTATCTTTGAAGTTTGGCGAGCGGAGCGAGCAATCAGAGACTTAAAAATGATTAAAATTTCAAGATGTTATATTTAATAAAGGTTTTTCACGTTTTTGGTGGATTTGCGCTCCCAAGGATCCTCTCTTTGAGGTTTGGCGAGAGTAGTGAGCCATCGAAGACTCAAAAACAAACTCAAGGTGTGTGCAGAAAGATTTTCAATATAGAATATAGGTTGCCGTCTAGCGAATGAAGCAGATTCGAAACATCAACAAGTTTAAAGCCCAAATTGGAAAAATGTTAAGATACTAATAGAGGCTTATGTGGACGAATTTCTTAATGACTATACTATTACTAACAAACAATATTTTACCAACGTATTTAGCATTAGCAAGAGCTGACTGGTAGGATATAGGATATACGGATTCTAAAGTAATAAAACACCTTCCAGTAGGCGCTTGATCAATTGACGAAAAAGGACCTACCCTACCAGTAGGCGCACAATCGGTGGATAAAAAAGGACCTACCGGTAGGCGTAGGATTCACTCCCAAAAAATTATCTAGTTTCTGTCCGAATTAATAGTTTAAGTACCTAGTTAACAAATATTTCATTAAATAATGAAAATCATAGTTGTAAGCAAATTTCTATGCAAAATAATTTAAAATACGCATAAAAACATATTCAAAACAAACTTGCTTGGCCGCCACGCCACATTGAATTTTCCTTTTTGACAGATGGATTGAATTGCCTAATTCCTCCTAACCGAAAAATTGGCAGCACAGCATGTCTATCCCCAAAAATAATTACAGATTTCTCAAAAAAACTACAGATTTCTTTATAATTCTCTCAATATACAGATGTTTTCATTTACCTTTGGCTACATTGGAACTATCGATATTGGTACAGGTCTATCGATACTATCGAAAATTGAAAAACTATCGATAGTATCGATATCCCTATCGATAGTTTGTTATCCCTAATTTTATGATAACTTGTTTTATTTTTTAGTTTTCTGGATTCCAAACTAATCCAAACAGAGTAGGAAACTTATAATTTACCTACCTCATTTACTTCATTATTGAATTAAATACTTAAAACTTGCTAAAATGATGACTAAAGGACTAAAATTAATCAAACTCTTATTTTCTCTTTCGATTTTCGTATGTGCCTTTTTTGCTGTGCTGGAGTTAACATATTTTTTGTCTTTTTCGTTCCCCAAACAAGGATTGACTATAAAGGGAGGTAAGTAGTGCCAGGTTTTATGTTTATTTATTGCTGTTAAGCACCAAATCACTTATTTCATTTTAAAGACACAGACTCACCAGCAGAGCAAGGGAAATAAAGCATATTATCGAAAGACCATGCACTTCCACTCTCTAATCCCAATTCCTAGTTTACCTATCTCAAGACCTATCTATATACTTTCCCACTGGCCGAGATACTGGGTATGTAGATACTGTTGTTGTCATTGCAAGTTCTTTTTTTGCTGGACATGGGTCTTGGATGGTTTCATATTCTACAGTTCCATATTATGACATCGTTGAAGTATCCAATTTCCAGTTTGTTTGTTGGGATTTGGTTCTAAATGGAAACGAGTTTGCCAATAATTCTTCACCAGATTTTTCATCAAGGCATTGGATTCCAAAATCTCAAATCGACCCGACATCAAACAATTTCTTGTAATCACAAAATATAAATATGTATATTACTAACTAATAAATTTTCTAAAATATTAAAATGTTGCTGAAGATAATATTTTTCAATAAATAGTGTCCTTTTGCATGGTCTAATTTTGGATTACCTTCGGTTCTAAAATCTTCCAAAATATTAGTTTCTAATACAATAACAATTTAGCTTGTGGCACTTAGCCCCCCACAGAATTCATGGCAAGAGCGATTTTTTCACAAATACCACCCACTAATAGTTTTGTTAATGAACTGCATTTGTTCTTTTTAGATCCATGGCTACAAACTGCAAGAGTACTCTTCGAGAACATGATCCTACTCTCACTATTCATTATTCAACACTCTGCAATGGCCACTGAGAAATTTAAAAATCTTATTATCAACCTAGGACTCAAAGATATGAACAGAAGTATCTACGTTAGTGCAACTGTGGCTGTTCTTCTGGTATGTTGGCTTTACCGTTGAATATGTACTTGTGTTTTGAGTCTAATAGGATAATTAATTTTGCAGCTTATTACTAGATACTGGCAAACCACTATACATGTAGTTTTATGGGATCTGGACCTTAATTATAAACCATTATTTTTTATTTATATTAGTATTCATGCAACAGCTTGGACAATTATTTATGTTGCTAATGTCTGTACAGACTTTCCAGAATTGTTAGGTCTAAAACAGGTTTATTATAGCTTGAGAAATTTACCAGACCCAATTCAAAGGAAATCCTATAAACTGCAGAGATTATTGTCTCACATGAGACATCCAAGTTTCTTAGGGTTTTTGTTGGTATTTTGGTTTTTCCCGTTGATGACGTAAGTAAATATGAATTTAAACATCAAATACTAGCTAATGTTTTGAAATTCTTCAGGTTAGACAGGCTATTGTTAGCCATTATTTTAACATTATACATGTATATTGCGTGGAATACTGATAATGAAGACTACCACTATCAAAAAGATATGTATGAAAGAAAGTATCATGAACTACAAAGACTTAACTCTCCTGATGGAAGAAAAATTCTTTAAAGTACAAAACAGCTCACTAAAAATACTGATTTATTTTATGTGTAAATCTTAAGCATGACACTGACAAAAACAAAATTGTAGGTATATTTTGTCATACCATTATTTTCCACTGCCAGTTTTTAAGTATTAAACATACATGTATTTCTGATTAATTAGGTCTGATATAGGTAGTATTTGAGAAAAGCTTTGTTTATAGACTTGCAAGAAGAGGAAACATGACAAAACTGTATTTTTTTGACTTGCCCAACACAACTTAAATTGTATTTGAGTGTGATCTACTTTGAAGATTTTTTTTTATGTTGTCAAAATTCAAAATTTTATGGGCAAATCAGATTTTTTACTGTTGTAATAGTTATTAGTTAATAGCTAATGCCACAAAATGCCTTTTTAGTGTAGGGAGAGAAAAATACAGATATTCTCCAAGAAAAGATAATCTTCAGGTCACAAAAAAAATTCAAAGTCGTGATACACAATGTTGTCAAATTATTGTGGAAAAATTCGACTTTCATTTTTATAGCCGGTACTAAGAGAAAGCGAAAGCATCGAAAACTCATTTCGTTATAATAATTTGCAAGAATCTATTATTCACAATCATCATCATCATTATTTAAAATCCTAGTGTTGTGTTTAGGTTAGGCTTATTCTCGAAATGAGAATAAAAAGATTTTGCAAGCGCTTGCCTTATTAAAAGGCAAGCCTTATTTTGACAGTTGAGCGTGCACAGTTTCTGTGTAGAATGACGGCAACTCTTAATAAGGAAAAGGGTCAGCCTTAATAGGGATATAGCAAGTGCTTGCCTTATTTGGACAGTTAAGCATGCCCAGTTTCTATTTGGAATAAGGACAACCCTGATAGGGATTAAATTTTTATTGTTTGATTCGAAATTTTTGCATTCTGTTATATACACTCATCAAAATAGTCTAGGGAACAAGAAATATCTGTATTTCAATTTTAGGAAAGAACAACTTTCTAAAACAGATTAAAGTGAGTATTTCTTATTGAACAAATCTTGTCAAATTTACCATGTTGGCTTTTTTTGCAAACTTATTTAGTTTAAATATTTTAAAAGTTAAATCGGCAAAAATTTCTGATAAGTATAGGAATTATCTTGTTCCCTAGACTATTTTGATGTGTGTATTTGTATATTATGTACTTTTTTTAGCCTCTAATTTGCTTACATTATTTCCACTGTTAAACTATCCATGTGTATTATGGGAATTTTTTCGACAAATATACACCGCACAAAAATTATCGCATCTATCCAAGCAGAAAACACAGAAATGAACATCATAATTGCAAAGTGGAATGTATGCCTATCTTCCAAAGTGGAATGTATGCCTATCCGCATTTTCCCGAAAAAAGTAAACAAGAACCTAACAGAAGAAAGAACGACATGTTTTTTGACTCGAGTTTTTCAGTTAAAGAATGCCCATTCAGGAAATACTTAAGAAGTTTTTAAAATAAATTTACTGTAGCCAAATTATTTAAAAGCATTCATTGGTGATGCGGTAATTTTTGTGCGGTGTGTATATCATGAGCAAAAAAGTTAGATAAAAAACATTCAATTGTGCTGTTGTATGTATGTATGTTTGTATACATACACATACATACAATGTGTTGTTGGCTAAAAACATAAATATTACAAAAATACACAATTCTCTGGTCAGAAACTATGCATCAGTCATTTGGTTCTGCAATGGTAGTTGCAATAAATAAACTAGGCATTCGAAAAAGAAAAATGCCCTATTGCAGCTCATGGAGGTTTGTCCTAATATTTCTTTAATTTCTGATATTAATAAGGCTCTTTAACAGTAAAAAATATATTTTTTATGACAACAAAACATAATTTGATTGATTTGACTGTCCCTTTCTCACACGCCTTGATATTCCTAATCCTTATTAATTTTGGTTTTCATAAATTAGTGATTCTTTTTCGGCTCAATAATGCATATTGATGCCAGAAAGCTCTCTTCTTGCTTACCACGCCAAAATCAATTGGATTGTTAGGGACATACTGCATTCAGAATCAAAATTCTCTGTTCTATTTCACAGATGTTAAAATAAAATACTAAAGCTGTAACTATGATGCTTTGGACCTTCCATTTTTTGACTCCCAGTTCTCTGATGGTACTTATACTTTGCCAGACATTTTAATTAATAACTCTACCTGTTCGACTGTTCCTGACAGCTCTTCTCGAAAGTGTCTATCACAGTCTACAAATTATATGGGGCTCAGGCTAATGTGATCAGAAATTTCTTGCCCAAGTTATTATGGTTAGCAACCAGAATTCTAACTAGCAAATTATTATTGTTTGGTTTTTCATTTTCCACAAAATTGTGACATCAGCTAGGAATATAGATGTATCACCCATCAAGGGCACAAGATAAAAGCCCTGTGGGATTTCATATTCTACATTCCCAGGATTCCTTAATCTTAAACCAGAACAAAACCCACTGAATAAACTCTGTCAGACAAATTCTCAAACTATTCAAGGAACATTAATAAAATTTCCTTTCAGGTGTAATACCAAAAACAAAAATAAAGATTTTATCATGAATCCACCTCAAACATCTTAAGGAAATTTACTACAAAATGGTTGCTGAAACGTTTATTCAAGGAATAATTATAACAAATTAGAAGTAATGTACAAGTAAAGAAAACAAATCCTATATTAGAACTAACAAAACTTATATCTATATACATGGGTTGGCTAGGATACATAAATTGGGTTACAACAGTGAACAATCTAATTTTAAAAATAAAAACAAGAGAAATGCACAGAGTCAACGTCATTGTAAAGAACACCCTCTCTGGCAGAAGATCTTCCCAACTGTACTGTTATGACTAAATGGCTCCTAGGCATACATTTTCCCTCAATAAATCATTCAAGATTACAGGATGGTTCAAATTAACCAATTGCTTGAAAGTTATTTTTCTGTCAAAAATAGATAGCAGCAAATTTGTATGCAGATGTGAAGTAAACTGATTACATAGAATTAGATGCTTGAAAGTGAGGAAGAGGATCTCCTGGCCCCACCTAGTTTACACTCACTTGATGTGACCATCATTTTCTTTTCCTCTACCCAAATATTTTTGTTTGCACAATATATATTGCACCTTAACTTTCAAACAATGAATACAACTAGCCCAAGAGGGAGCCATAACTGCAGTAGAAAATCTGTAAAGTTGGTATCTCACTATACCAACTTTAAAGCATAGAGTATTTTCTTATAGGCCAGATATTGGGAAAAAGATTAATGGTGTGAATTCAAAAAGAATTTTCCTCAAAGCAAACTAAAGAGCAACATTGATGGGGGGAAAATTGGGGTAGACCTGATTCCGCGTGTTGCTAAATTCACCAAAATGGTGCACCGCCACGGATGCGGTGATTAAAATTCACTAATGCCAATGCCAAACCACAGCTTGCCAAATCCTGTTTAATTTAATAACACTGCTTGTTCTACCATTCCACCACGGTGCCTAAACCAGCTGAATTTAGCCACACGCGGTTATTGAAATGTGTAGTTCTGAGGTGCGAAATGTATAAATAAACAAAATTCTGTATGATTTTCAAGGAAGTTCAATGAATATATTACTGGCGCGTGAATTGACAAGTGTCAAGCTATGGTGTTTATAACTGGCAAAATTGTTTTTGACTCGCCTTTGTCCTTCCCCAAAGTTGCGTTTCAGTTTTCCCTAAGGAAAAATGTTTAGCTCTGGCAACCTGACCAATTTTTTTATAAAAAATTATTGTGTTTAATATTAATAGAGAAAAACAAAACATACAATTATTATTTTTAAAATACAGGGGCATTGTCAATATTCTTTATGCCAACCTACCTGACAATAAAAAAAATCATGTCAGTCTTCTTCAAAACTTTTTTGCCTGTGCAAAAATATCCTCTTTTATTTATCTTTTTTTTTCAACAACTATAAGGCAGGGGAAAGCACTTATTTGGAAATAAAAATAAAGAAATTTATTCAAATCTACCCCAAAATGGAAGAAAAGTTGAAAGGGAAATAAATATTGATATCTCTAAAATCTTGAAAAAAATAACTAAATCAAATCCATAGATATTCCAATAAGTAGGTACTTACTAAAGACTAATAAAACATAGAACAGAAATAGAATCAAGCAACAGTTGAAGTTTCCAAAATTGAACAAGTCTGTTGAACCCATTCCCTATACTCTGTTTACCATTCTGCATCACCATTGGCCTTCTGGAAGACATAATCTATCATGTTTAAATTCATAATGCCATCTTTCAAGTAGAATTTCCACTTGTTTCGATTGCGAATTATTTTGTCGTACTGGCAAACAATAATGTTGTCTGTATCAAAGAGATCTGTAGGGTCTTCGTCAGAAACATCATCTTCTGAATTGAGCGGCTCTTCTTCGCCACCTTCATCTTCAATTTCTTGGTCTTCATCGTCCTTATCGTCGTCAGGATCATCGTCGTCATTGTCATCCTCTGATCCATCTGTATTATCATCTGAAGTATCCATACCACCATCTACTTGTTTCAATTCTTTGGTAGTTCTTGTCAATTTCTTCTTATTGTGAATTTTTTTGTTTGATTTACATTTGGGCAAAACAAATTCGATTTCCAAACCATCTTCAGAGTCGCTCACTGTGCCATCAGTCTGAGAAGGGTTTTTGTGGAGAGATGCAGCTTGATGACTGAGGAATGCAGCATTAACGTGTTGTTGTAACAGGGAGGATGCTATTCCAGGAGGAAGGCCCATGGTTGCTGTGATAACCGGACCAGTTAGTACCTTTTGGAGTTGGTTTCCTTGAAGAGCTATAGCGGGGACCTGAAAAACCACAAATACCAGTGTTTATCTAAAGTTTGAAAGGCTATAAAATCTGGAAAGTTTCAATAAAAATATTTTAAGAGTTTGCTGACGTTTTATTTTTCGCAAGTGACAATTTTTAGCTTTATTAGATAATCCAGGTTGATAATACCTCATCATAAGTGTAAGCTAACACATGCCTGAAGTCCTGATTCATTTTGGGTTTTTTTATGTATTCACAAATAGACATAAATTAAAAATGCTAGTAGAAAGCAAACCACAGAAGTCCGAAGAGAGGTACCTTTGCCTTAAGTTTCGATAAGTAAGTGACTATCTATAAGCAAAAACCGAAATTAAGAGATTCAAAATAGAATATACCTAAAAGTCTTATTTGAGGTCCTATTATACCAAGTACTCAAAAAAAAAATGGTAAAAAAGCCAAGGCAGGCTTTGTAGAAACTTGATAAACCAAAGTAAAATTGTATCTGACAAATTCCCGCAGCCAAGAATAGATGACATACTAGAGCGAGGGTTTTTTCAAGACTAGATTTAGAGTCAGAATTTCATAAAATACGACTTGACGAAGATTCAAGAGACCTTAAGCACAGGTATAGGATTATACCAGCTTACAGCTTTCAGAAAATGATGAGTAGGTATTGCATTTGCATGCATTACTCCTTAAAAAGCATTTTTATATTATAAGCAATATTATTGCTATAGGATTTTGAAAAAATCATTATTTTGTAGTACAGAAAAGGTAGTTTAACCCTGAAAAATGCTGATTTTTTCAACAAGAAGTAACGTATCTAAGACATAAAGTTAAAAGTAGAGGAATATTACCAGACGATAAAAAAGTTTATTTCTACATGAGGACGCCAGACAAACGCTGACGCATAAAACCTTCCATTGCATTTTGTAACGGCGCATGATTGAAGGTTTTTTTTTTTAATTTTTATTCGTTGTTATTTCAAGGCCAGCAAATCTTGCTGATTCCGAATTAATCGTTTTGAGTAATGTTGGCCAGATATAAGTACAGTGTCATTACTTAAGTGTGCAACATATGGGATTTTTTTTAGTAATAGCACAATCAAAATACAAACAAGGCCAAAAGTTGGTGCATGTCTGATAATCATATTAGGTGCACTTAGAATGTTTGCAAGTCAAACAGCATACAGGGTGGCTCAAAAAATATCAAAATTCTACTAATATTTACTTTAATAAAATAAAACTTTTGCACTTTAAGCAGAGTTTTTTTAATATGGCTATTATCATAAGTAATGTTTTAACTTGTTAAAAAAAAAATTGCGACATTTTAAAGTTGTGTTGAATATCATTGCAACAAACATGAATTTTGTGATTCCATAAAAAATTAAAAATCTAAGTTAATTTTACAAATATGCTTGAATTTGAACAAAGTTATGTAAATTTGATTTGATTATAATTAATTTTTGAAAGTCTCAAGGGTGGAAATAAAAAATAAAAAAAATATAGAAATTATAGATTTTTTTCGAAAGAAAACAAAAAAAATCTTAGGAGGCTATGTTTTGGTATTTAGGCATAACTTTTAATTCCAAACACCTTTTCTCTATAACATTTTGCTGAATTTTCTAAAATAAGGGTACTTTACAGTACCAGCTTTGATATTGTTTGAGCTACCCTGTATGCTGTTTGACTTGCAACAATTCTAAGTGCACCTAATATGATTATCAGACATGCACCAACTTTTGGCCTTGTTTGTATTTGGGTTGTGCTATTACTAAAAAAAATCTCCATATGTTGCACACTTAAAAAATCACACTGTATATGAGATTATTTTTGTGAGATATAGACTGTACTGAGCTCAGTAGTCAACACTATGATAAAAAAAATACAATTAAAGATAATATTATATTTATTATGCATATTATTGAATTCTTCACCAACAGGAAGGTCTCATGAATAATATTTCAATTAATTTCTGGGCTGAAAGTTCTTTTAACACATCAGTGTTACCAACTTTTTGCCGTTCACTCTCTTAATATATTTTGTGTTAGTAAAATGGTTGTCTGCTACGTGCCTACTATAATATATTTGGAAGATGCAATCATAACAGCAATATTGAATCAGGAACACTGTCAAAGCTGATAACTGAATTTTGAAGAGTTCACAAGGATAAGTGTACAACTTATTTTAGTCATTGTATATTGAATATACCTAATTATTGTGTATAATAAACGGATTAAAGTAATGTAATATTGCGCTAAACTCCAATATTCTGAACCCGATTCTGAACTTGCATTTGTTTAAAAAAGGAAATGTATACCTTCCTACTTAAACTTAGAATTAAAATCGAGTTTTGATGATAAACAGTTACTCATAAGTAGTTGTTAATTTACTGTGAAAAGTTTTCATGACCATTGATAATGTTGTTTTGAGTAATTAAAAGACAATAAAAACCTCGATAAAAACATTGCCAAACAAAACAAGCACAATAGATATCTGCATACCATTAAAATAACTTAGATAAAGAAATTACTTTCTTGAATTGGTGACTTATTCACAAATAAACTAATATAAGTAGGTACCTACCTACTACTTATTAACACAGACATTTTGGATATATGGAAATTATTATATGTTTCAATTTTATAAAGAATCTATACCTGTATTGTCAGCACGCGTTGTGGTCCGTCTGTTCCAGGCTGAGGGGGCAACGTTATCTGTATCGGAACCATTTTAGTCTCGAGTACTGACTGTACAGGCTGTACAGGTACACTGGGAAGAGGGTGTGATGGCTGCATTTGCTGTTGGGTTGCTACCTGCTTTGGATAACCATTTGAATGCATAATTTCCTTTTTGGCCTTTTCTTCAGCCTCATTTGGTATAGCTTTACTGGCTGCCAGTTTGGTTTCCCAAGTTTGCCTTAGCTCTTGTAATACTTGCTCGTCCACTCCATCTTCTAGGAATGCTTCTCTCACCCCTGATATGACGTCCTCCATAATCTCATGATAAATCCTTGGTACAGAGGATTTACACAGGGAGGAGTTCGGCTGGGAGGATTGGGCCATATTTCAAATATTATACAAATCACAATAAGAAGTAACTTTTGAGTTTGTGTTGAAAGTACTCACAGCAAAATTACCATTAATCAGTCTTTACGGTTTGGTTATTCTGCTCAAAAAAAAAACAAAAATTATTAAAAGAATGAGTTGCACCCCATTTTCTTCATTTTTGTTTGACAAATAAATTTCATCCAAGAAATTCAACAACTTATAACTCAAGAAAATAGTAAGGTTACTTTGAGGCAACCACAACTGCAGTCGACTTGAAGGATATAACAATTGTCATTACGGTATAAGCGTTTTCAGAACTATTTGAGAAATTTCATTCTGCACGATTCTGCTGCTCTGCACGATTCTGCTACTCTGCACTACATTTGAGTACGGGATGATTGGTGAGAGATAGCTTTTTTGTTGGAAATTACGATTAGTACGAATACGGATAACTTTTTAATGTAACAATGAGAAGGATGGCTCAACTCATCAAGTTTATTTTTCCGGGATGACATCACGTTAGACGCTCTGTGTTGCCTATTGATGTTCAATGGATCTTGTATTGTTGCTCTCAGCGACCTGGACCGAAATGAAAAATCGGTTCCGGTTCACAGCGTCATGACAAATATCGATTCCGCTACGCTTAATAATAATTATTATTAATAATGATACATTTTTGTGTTTTGGATCAGTTAATTACAGTTTGTATTTTTTAACGTTGCTCGTGCGTCATCAATGATACCATGCATATTCTTATAAGGTTTACTGCGGTGAGGTGGCCGTAATTATGAATTATGACATACGGAAAAGTTGAAAAATACAAACTGTAAGTGGTGTTTTATTGCCAGTCGAAAAGATTTTTAAATAAATATTAAATAATATTATAATAATATATAAATATCTCAAGCCCCCACCACGTATCAGTGATAACGTAGCAGCGTGTCGTTTGTCGCCTTGACGTAGGGTGTTTGCACCGCAGGTTATGATTCCACGGACTTTTGCTTTATGCATATTTGGTTTTAGTACAACATTCTAAAACAACAAACACACCCTTGTTCAGATTTCGTTTGCATCTTTCTCTTTGCCTATTATGTTGAAAAAAATAAAATAGTATTTTTTTATCATAAATGTATATTCTTAACTACGACCTCTGGCGCAAGCCGCTATAGACACCGCTAGTGACGTCGCCAACTGTGCAAAACCATTATTCATCTATTCATCATTATATCTTGTCTGTTTCTGCAGAAATCACAAACCAGTCAGAGTGAATTTCATTGGTTAATACTAGTTTTCTGACTGTTTCTGACTGTTTTCAACCAATGAAATTCGCTCTGACTGGTTTGTGATTTCTGCAGAAACAGACCTACTATCATATATCCAACACATATCAAGTAGGGCTCGGAATTGTATTCGAATAATTCGAATATTCGACTATTCGACTATTCTAAATTCGACTTTTTTGTTAGTTAGCAAATTCGACTATTCGAATATTCGACTATTCGAATATTCGAATATTCGACTATTCGAATATTCGACTATTCGAATATTCGATTATTTGAATATTCGACTATTCGATTATTCGACTATGTATTTGAATATTGGACTATTTAACAATGCAATTACTCACCTTATACATTACAAATTTGAATAAAATAATGTTTAGATTTTCAATAGTCACCTAAACGACTATTCCGGTAAGGTACCGGTATTTAATTAAAAATAGACCACTACTAACAGTACGACAAAGTACAAACTAACTAATATAAATGATTATCGGAATATTTGACCATTGGAATATTAGACTATTCGAATATTCGACTTTTTGACTACATATTCGAATATTCGACTATTCGAATAGGTTTTCGAATATTCGATTATTCGAATTATTCAACTATTCGAATAAAATACCAAACGACTATTCGAATACTCGAATTTTAGAAATTCCGAGCCCTAATATCAAGTTCATACTTGATTCCAAAAATCGGGGGCCGATGAGCAATGCTTTGGTAGTATGTAATATCCTTGTGTGGCCTAGTCGAGCTCTCAGAAATGCGCGTTTTTCAGCGCTCTGTTTAAAGTGTTAAATTTATTAGGTTACGACCAAACAGCAAACAGCTCAATTCATGAAATTTTGAAACCGGAAAATACCGGTAAGAACCGATTAATTTATATTGGTTCCGGTTCTGCTGCCTTGCAACATTTCTATGAAATATGGGTTTCGTTCTGGTTCCGGTCCACAAAAAAAAACGGTTTTCGGTTCAATATCGTTTCGGTCCGGGTCCCTGGTTGCTCTTGAAACTTTTTATGACTTGGTATTGAAAAACTGACAATCGTATTTCAAAAATAATAACCTATCGTGGCGTTCGGTGTTTTGCTCAAAGAGCAAAGCGTGCTGAGCAGCGGAGCTGTAATCACGTGACCAGCGAGCGAACAGGAGCAGTTGAACGCTGTATCAGAGTGTCCGAAATTTTAATAAAATAAACGATTGCTAATGAGCCTGCACCGAGTACACTTTTCAAATAAACGAACGGTAAATTCAAGCCCGGAGAGCTCAAATCAAAACACCGAACGCAGGATATGCCAGTTATAAATGGGAAAACTAAAAATGCTTGCTAGCTTCAGCTAGTGGGGTCACTTACTTTCCATTTTTGATTCGCAAAGCGAGAGAGGAAATTTTTAGTACATACAGGGAATTTTCAAGAAAGTCGAAAGCCTCGTCGAAAACAGTGGAAAATATTTCGATTTTCATACGTCATAAAATTTCTGGAATTGTTCGTCTCTGTAGTGATGTCACATAGCTGTAGGTGCTGCCCGAATGGCTGGAATTGAGTGTAAGCTATCCTCTTTGCTGAAGATCCTTGACAGTGAACCACACAAAAGGCTAATCACGTGGTGTTTTGGTGTGATGCACAGCCTCCTACATTTAACAAGCCATGAAGTTAAAAAGGCAACACCGCAATCTTACCGCCAAGTGGTGCTGGTGGTGTTTGTTTGTATAAATATATATTTTTTATTTTATTAATATGAATCACAAAAAATGCATAATTTATTGTACTAAAGGGCCAAAAACAGTAATTCAATGAATAATTTAACTATTTGTATAAATAAGAACAGTAAATAATTGATTTAAATGAATATATTTCTAGAGTCTAAAGTGTTATAGGCCTATGTTTCAGTATGTCTTTTGAAAATCTAACTTTTTCTTTCTTCGGGATTTTTTCGGAAGGCAAGTCCATTCAAATACTCGAGCTGATTTTCGAAAATAAGAGGTACCTTACTTTTAAGGGTTGGATGTTTTAGTTTGAACTCTCGAACTACGCCTTTATCCTTGTTTGTTTCAAATCTAATTATTTCGGTTTCTTCAAAATGTTTACAACACACCACAGAATTTTTCGTTATTGTATAATCTTGGGTATAATTATCTTGGTGTATTGCTTTCATCCACATTTTTTGCAATTCAGAATTTTTTTGGAAATAAAAATGTTTGCATTTCTTCAGTTTTTAAGGAACTCCTAATAGTTCGATTTGCACCCAGGAACACAGTAGTTTCATGGCATCTGGAACAAGTTTAAATATCTTAGGTAATATATCGAGACCTATGCTCTTGCAGACAAATATTAATATTGTTTTTATTGTTTTACGTTACCTTACCTTCATTTTTGCTCCTGTACACATTTGCTAAAAATTTGCAATCAAAGCACAAAGGAACAGGTATCAACTAAATATGGGCAATATATTAGTGTGTTTCTATCCACTTTTTCGTCAATAATGCCCATAAAAATACTAAATTGCAACAATACACAATGAAAGCAATACACAGAAACACATAACCCAATAACAAAATAGCACCATACGCGACGTTGCCGTCATTTCCAACTTCATGGCTTGTTAAGTATAGGAGGCTGTGTGTGATGTGATAAATTTTAATTTTGACAACAATCGTCTCTCTTTTGTTTACAAAATATACTTGATCCAAGGCAGCATCAGCATAATTTCATAACAAAAAAAATCGACTTCAGTTGCCTGTTGTTGTTGTCGATGAAGGTTTTTCTGTTTTTCCTACACGTGAAAAGTCAAGGCTGAGCCCTGTCCTCACTTATCATGATGAATCTAGCCGAACGAATGCGTAATTATGTTGCTAGTTTTTTTCTGACACCCGAAAATGGGAAGAAAATCCATAAAGTTACCTTTATGGACTTGTACCTGGAGAAAGCTCTACAGATATTGTACTGGCAATCCACTGAGATGACCCTGAGGGTATTTTTCTCCCTAAATACCCTCTTTTGGTAAGTGCTACTACAAAAGTTTTCTACAGACAAAATGTTTGAAAAAATTTATGTAAAAGTCAATGTACCTACAAAGAAAAGTATTGTGCAAACTTAGGTGCTAGGTATTTTAGATTGTTTTTGTTTAAAAATAAAATGTATAGGTACTGGTCTCGGTACTGGTACTCTTTATATGAGAATGGCACACAGTATAGGTATAATAATTCGTAGATATAATCTAATTTTTCACTTTCAAGGTGTTATGCTAGTAGAAATTTATAGAATCTTAGGGCGGTTACATACATACGTGGATGTCTTAATACATATATGTGCATACATCAACATGCAAACAACAACGTGCACGGCGTTTTGTACAGACGCTCGCACAAAACTGCAGTCTTGTTATTCTTGCTACAGTATTCTGAGTCTGAGTGTGCATACAAAATTGCACATTCAAAAACGCGACGGTATTATGCATACACATTGATGTTTTTGTTTGCACGTTCATGTATGCGCGTACATGTTTTCAGACATCCACGTCCGTGTGTGACCGCCTTTAAACAAAAGTCTGAGCAAAAAGTCCTATGTGAAATTTCCTATCCTAATTTCTAGGGCGATATGAGTATGTAGATATAATTCACAATACTAGATCTTGTAGTAGAATATATTCAAGTGATATACCTACAGTGACTCAGTGAGTTCATAAAGACTCGCATAAATTCTTTTTTTTTTTTTGAAAACGGTAGAATTTTTGGAAAATTGCTTAGACGCGTCGATTTTGTTTTTTGTTTGATATTTTCTCGGAAATTTTTTCATAATACATTTTTTATTATACCTACAGGGTATGCCAAAAATAGCTGCACAGGATTTTAAAATATGCTACATGTTCTATGCCCAATTCAAACTGGACATGTCAATAAAAGTAATAATCTACAATGAAAATTATTTTCAGTAAAAAACCAAAAAGTTCGGAAAAAAATAATTTATTAGGTATTCAAAATGTTCGCCATCAACTAAGTACCTACCTAATTGACAATAGGTAACCTAGCTGATTAATAAATTCTCTCTGTACGTTTCTCACAGTTTCAGGGCTAATTAGGCGTATTTTACTAATAATGCGAACTTTTAAGTCTTCAATATCAACAGGTTGCGTGACAAAAACTTTACTTTTAAGATATCCCCATAAGAAAAATGTATGTAAATCTGGGTATCTTGAATAAAAACATCGTTTAGATGAGGGAAAACTCTTGCGGCATAATGTGGCCCCAAGCTCCACCTTGTTGGAACCAAATATTTTGGCTGCGCGATTTTTTTCTCCCAGAAACAATGTTGGAAGGGCTGGAATTAAGTCTTCTTGCATTCTTGCAGGAAATCTTAATACCATTGGCCATTCAATTTTTCTTCAAAAAATAACAGTCCTTTTACAAGATTGCCCACAATTTCATCCCAAACATTTTTTTTTATTATGTGTTTACATTTGCCATTTGAACAGAAAGACAAAATAATATTCCCAACTGATTGGGGGTCAACCGGGGGTTAACCAAACACATTTCTTGGAATATTTCACAAAATTCCAGACGTCTGTTTGAAAGTTCCTAATGGCTATGCATTTTATCAGGAATATATTATTTTTTATGAGTAATATTTAAACAAGTGATCCTGTCGTAACATCAAGGTTTCTGGCTAGTTCTCTACATACATGTTGGTTGTCTTACATAGGTACATGTTGGTTGTCCTGAACACTTAAGTCTTTATGTATTTTCCTCATCACTAACGGGTGATCAACCGCTTCTTGGAGCATCCTGAACATGGCCAAGTTGAAGAAATGTTTGCTCAATCCCGTCGATTGGCAAATTGGAGATATTATGTTCTGTTGAATAAATAACAAACTTCTTTGTGTGTTCTTGGCATATCGCCATGTCCTGTCATTCTCAAAATGTCTATTCTCTACGCCGCGCCTCACTCACTTTCATCGTACCTATGTCGGAAAACTAAAACTTTAAAACTGCGAAAAACTTAAAGTGAAGTAATGAAGAATAATCCTGAAAATTTAACAGGTTGAATGCCACGGTAAATTGAATGAACTTCACCCTGGGCTCAAAAGGAAATAATAGTACATATTTCAAATTCATTTATTATACAGATACATTGGTTAGATATTCAATGTAAAATATCTGTCATTTTGACAGCTGTAAGTGAATGTCCATTTCACTTACACCATTCAAAAATAATAGAAGCGTAAGGATATTCCAATAAATAGTGAACTAGCAATGACAAAGTCAAGCAAAAACTGAAATTTCAAACTTCTGTTGTGGCCCGCAAACTTTTGTTGTGGCCTGCTTCATGGAAAACAAGTTATTGCCATATCCCGCATTTTTGAGGGCCAATTTAGATTCTATTTGGTAGCGTCAAGTTCACTGGACGCGGGCCTTGACAAGAAACCCGTCTGTCCAGTATACTGGACGGTGGCACTCAACCTGTTTAAGAATATTGAAATAATAAAAGATAATTTAAAGAGTTTTCTAACAAATTGGCTGTGAAAATTTGACAAAACAAATAGATTTAAAACTGTCATTATAGTAACTAAATAATAGGTACATAACTTTATTAATCAGCATTAGGTCACTGAACTTCTTTTTTTTTTTGTTGATTGGTCATTTATGTATCTCAGAAACAATTGGATTTGGGAATAGGACAGGTAACATGTAGAAAGCTGAAAATATTTTTAAAAAATTCCCAAAAAAATTAAAAAACTGGTGGTTTTTATTTAAAAAATCAAAGTTGATACCAGCGTAGATATTTTTTGGGACCCCCTTTAGGTACAATATAAATTATATCAAAAAATTTTTAATAGTAAAAAAAATTTGATTTGAGCGATTTTTCAAAAATTTGCCTGCAGCAATTGAAAATATAGTGGCAACAATGTGTTCTGTTTTATTTATTGCCTTATCAATTAAATTTGAGTAAGTATATTGTTCAATACAATGGTGAATTGACAACATATGTGAGTTCATGTTGTTTAATCCATTGCCAAAAACAAAGGAGCTAGAACCTTGGATATGAGAGGATGTTATTCGGGATGTTATGTAAATTGAGTTGAAATTGTTGATTATTTCATTGAATAAATCATTCAAAAAAAAATGGTTTTAAGTTCAGCGTACTGTAATTTGATAATCAAATTTGGAGAAATACCTAGCGTTTGTAACTGACCTGGATTAGGAAAACCATTGATTAATGTTATCCAAGTTAAATTTTCTGCAGAAAAACATTTCACATGATGCCTTATAAATCACTTCAATCGCATGTATTCTGGAAGAGTCGTCTTCCTGATTCTATGAGGTGTTCTCTAACAAAGATAGTATTTTTTTGATACAGTTAAAAATCTCAATGTTACAGGAGATTACAGAGAGTAGATCCAATATTTATGAAAAATCTCTGTAAAATTAATTGAAAGTATCAGCATATCTTTTTTATTCCTCTTGCTATGCTTCTACCTTGGATTTTGTTTGGTCCAAACTCTTAAATAGCCACAGCTATGTAAATTATTTTAGTATTGGGTACCTATATACAACCTATATCTAGTGTATTAAAATTGGACTTTCATAAAAAAAAAAACACAAAACTCCAATATGTTGATGCAATCCTATTTAATAAAAATCAAAAATACTAGCCAAGCTGCTTGTTTTGCCCTGGATTCTATTTTTAGCACCCAAAACGTCCACTTTTTCAATAATCTAACAGCAACGCATATCCTTTCGATTTTCTGTGACCGGCGGCACCTCAAAATAAACAGAAATGGGTCGTTCCTAGTATAACTCAACATAATCAAAGAAAAATTGAAATTAAAGTCACTTCTCTTTCATAAAATCCATCTCGGAATCCATATAGTGACGTTATAAACACTCAATTTAATTTTGTAATAGATTTTTCTGGATTTTTCATAAAGATCCAACAATTTTACCAAACAAAAAACTGATGAATAACTTTCTTATGCATATAATTACTTTTCGTACAGGGTGTTTCATCGAGTTTGGGTCATTAGTTAGTAACTTTTTGGTCCTAAAAAAGTAAAGTAATTTCCAATGCCTCGAAGTGACTTTATACAAGTAGATAATAAATTAAATCAAACTATTATTTTCTAAGATTTGTTCATGATTAACTGAATCTTTTATTTCTGCTTAAGTGTAAATGGTCCATATTCGTAAAAATGTAACTTTGGTTTCTTTAAGTAAGTGTATTGTTATTATTTTTATTCTTGATGGCTTTGTCTACAAATTATGTATTTATTTTTTTTGGCAATAAAGAATTATTATATTATCAAAAAATAATTACTTACTTAGTCACCTACAATTAATATGTTGGCCTGCATCAGAAAATCTCCCTACACTCACTAAGTTTGAATCTGAAAACAATTAATTACAATATTTATTTTTTAGGATCATACTCATGCTCAACATAAGATTTTATGGTGCCATTTCCTTACTAACTCTTATTTTCTTCGTTTTTGATTCTTGCTATAGAAACACCTTATTTACTGAATATACAGGGGAATATTCTGGTGTTATAAGGGATATAAATTGCGCTATAAATAAAGGAGTTGAGATTTTATACAGCTTGAGAAGGGAAAGTCCTATTGTGGTGAGTAATTATCACTACTTTATTAAAATTGGAAGCATTTATTGAATATGTATTTATCTATTTACAGTTTTATCCTGCAATATGTTCATTCTTTATGACTCTGCATATGCTATCAAATAATGTCCCAGGGGAGTTTCTATTTTACATGATGTTACTAACTGTGTTTTTCTTACCCCTTGGCTTTCAGTTACTTCCTGAACCAATCACTTTGCAAATTAAGCAAGTTTTTAATGCAATTAGCACACCCAAGTGTAAGTTAATTACTCACATGCATTTATAAAAAAAAAAAAAAGTTAAAACTTTTACAGGTAATCTAGCTGAATATGAACTAATACCATTTATTCAAGACAAGGATTTAACCAGGAGGGATGCTGATTTGGAAAGTCTGTTGACAGACAGAACTGCAGGTGTGTGATTTTTTTGTTTTTGTATACTTGAAAGCTTCAATAAGTTACACCTAATTTTAATGTTCCAGATTCTGTCACTAACAGCTTAGCCAGTGGTTTATCAACAATGCCCTCTTACCTCGAAATTTCAGGTGGTTCACTTGAAATCGAAGAAGAAGACTTAATACCACACACGACAAAATCCGCTGTCTCGTTTACACCAGGAGAAGTTTCTAGTGATTCGGATTCAGATAATCGTGAAATTAAATTTGATTCTGATCATTTCAATACGAGTTCTTCTGAGGAAGATCGTTACGCAATAGGTCTGACCTCTCCTAAAGCTAGCCAAGCAACTCCAAAAGACGACCAGTTGAGTTTGGGTATGATCCAAAGCATGGTTAATATAGTTAGTAATCGTATTGTTTCAAATATGTTCCAATCATCCTTGCTTAGAAAATCACCTCCTAAGAAAACAACACTTAGTGTTAGCGATAGCGACAGTGATTTTGAAATGGTCGACCCTGATGAAATTGCTGACGAGTTTGAAAAGGATGATTAAAAATGCCTTTTGTTAAATTATGTTCTTTTCAGCCAAGTTTGAAGGATTTTTTATTTGCTGATTTTAATTATTATTTTTAGGGCACCCGAAGTTCTATTAATATACTAGTTTTTAATTTCACAATGCAGAGGAGGCGGAAATAGGTGACGATAATTTATATAAACAAATCTTTTTAGTAGTGCTGAATAGCTATAATTAATCAGCTAGACTTCGCCTTTTGAGAATTGTTTGTTTGTGTGCAATCCATTTGTAACGGAATGGAATCAACATTTTTTTTGGTGTTTGAGGATTATTGAACAATCATTAATTGATATTGATACCTTCTGTTATTATGTTACAGGGTGTCCTATTTTCAATTATTCAACTACGGCTTTACCATTCTTATCCCAGAAACAGAATATTATTGTTTGAATTTATTAAATCTGTAGAGCTCTGCTGCCCCAGGTCGGGTTGAGTTCTTCTACACTATTTTGCAGTTGCTAAGGATCATAATAATTGAAAGTTTAGGACAATCTTGGTTCAGTGTAAAGCTTCCTCATGACCTACCTACAAGCTTGATTTGGAATACCTCTGGTACTCTATAACCGAGATTTACTGTTTTGTTTTATATTGTTTTATCTGGACATGTGTATATATTTTATATTCATATCATGTCCATTATTTATAAAGTTTATTTTATCATTGTTTGCCTCAACTACCAGTATGCCATTGTTCATAATATCTTTATTTTATTTACTTGCGATATGGCAAGACTAGTCATCATAATAGTAATGTAATAACTAATAACATAATGATAGGTTTTTGGCATGGATATTTTTAGGTTGTTAAGTTTTGCTGTGTTTTTTTGGTTTGTTTATTCAACCAATATTTATTCCTTTTTTTTCGGTAGGTAGATATTAGGCTAGACTACTTAACTTACAAATATTATAGGTTAGAAACTTTTTAGTGAGAGAAACTATTGGCAATTTTCAATCAATAATGGTTACCCGAGTGGTTACCGTTATCTTAATAACATTAGATAACACAGTTAGAAAAATAAGTGTTTTAAGGCCCTTAATGTTTGTCCCTTTTTTTACGGCTATTTTTATTACTGGTGTGAATACGAAGTACCTGCGACAGTTTTTTTTTTAGTATAACTGTTGTATGCAATGCCTATTCATGTTTGACTGTTAGAACTTCTTTTTTTTAAATATTCGATTGACGATTAATTTCACATTTCGACGAATGATCCTTGACTTCGCGTGTGAGTAGACGAGGTGAATTCGATCGGAAACGCTATAAGTAGAAGAAACCAAAGTAAACTGCTACCCTAATGAAATTAACAATTAAATGACGTTCACTTCAAACTGCGAAAAGAAAAATCACAAACCAGTCAGAGCGAATTTAATTGTTTGAAAATAATTAGAATGCTGTTGATTGGCGATTTACACCAATCAAAAACGCTCTGACTGGTTTGTGATTTCTGTGAGAATAGACCTATCAACGCCAAGCGGTATGTCTTTTATGTCAAGTGGTATTTTTATTTGATTTAACAGTTATTTGTCATTTTTCTTTTAAGGTATTTAGTTTGCTTCGAAGAGTATTTTTTCTGTACAGGCATAGCTTCTATATATGTAATAATTATATCACAAGACAGATACTTTTAATAAAAATAAGAAAACAAACCGAGTTGAATTCTTGCACATGCCGACTTCTAGGCATTATCTGAAATAGTGTTTCTCGTAAATACTGCACAAAACGTGATGCGGTAACGTTATTAATCACGCATAGGTATAATGTCAAAATAACGTAGGAAACTCTTAAGCATATTTTCTTAATTCGAGAGGCTCCAAATAGTGTGTTGTAGTATTTATTTTTATAGTATGATTATACCCATAGACTTTATAGGTTTTTATGGCTGTTACTTTATTTCTGACATTTTTTGCATTAGTAATAGATATTATTTCAAGACACAATTCAATTAGGATATTTGAAAGTCTGAATTCTGATAATGGTAATGAGTGCTAAACAGTGTCGACCAATCTTATCACTATTTTAAAATATTGGTGATGTGAACATTACATTTTCTTCTGAAATCATACTACATTTATACATTTATGTATATATACATACTAGCAATTGGTGGTTTATTTAAGGTACTTTTTCAATGTTAGATACTTTTTTGTTTCCTTTCAACATTTGTAATGGACTTCCATCAAGTATTGGCTAAATCAATCTTTTTGAAAAATTAATTCACCTAATTAGGCTTTTTACCTTTTTTTTCCAGGATATTGTAAAAAATTATTTAAAATAAGATATATACAAAATTATTTAAAATAATGTATATTGTGTGTAATAAGCAACATTTTTTAATAATAATTTAAATAAACATTCATAAACAATATGTGGTTTTATATTTCATCAGATTGAACAGTATGGTGGGTGATAGACTATTAAGCCTTTGTAGGTGTGTAAGTAGAGCTTATTTCGAATTTATTTAACTAACCATAACTAATAGGCCTTGGCACTAGTGATGCTCTTTTAAATTTAACAGAAAAGATAAAGCAAAACCTGGTGGTTTAGCGGTGTTTTTGGATCTGGCAAAGGCCTTCGATACAGTGCCCCATAAGAATCTTCTTGAAATCCTTGAACGGAGTAGTGTGAGAGGCGCTGTGTTAGGGCTCTTTGAAAACTATCTAGACAGACAACAAGTAAGAATTCGGAATACCTTGAGTGATCCCGGCTTATAAAGATTGGGATCCCACAAGGAACTGTACTGGGTCCCTTCCTTTTCAACTTTTATATTAAATCAATGACTGACCTGGAAATAAACGGAACAATTTTCTTGTACGCTGACGATACGGTTGTACTTTTTGATGGACTTTCCTGGCAGGAAACTAGAGAAAACGCACAGGATTGTCTTGGGCTTGTGAAGGAATGGCTTGATGGGCATAAGTTATCCTTGAATATGAAAAAACCAACCATATTACCTTCACTAAAACGGAAGTAAACCGTCCATCATTTTCTTTCACTCACATCACTTTCTTCAACAGAAAAAATATATGAGGTTACAAACACTAAGTACAGTATCCGCCAAAATAAACAGTAGGTACTGAACATATAAATTATATCATTTTTAGCTTCCTAGATAGGAAGCTATGGTGATAGCCCGATTTTGACCATGTCAAAATTTCAATAAATCTTGACGTTTTGGATCATTTTAAGCCTTTTTGGCAAGGTGGCACATTTCTGTCTGTGTGTACTTCTCGTATCTTATGAGGACACACACCCACTCCTCACCGACTTTATAAGGACCGAAAACGTTATGAGGACCAATTTTGGTCCTGGGAGCGTTCGGACCTCATAAGTTTCTTTAACGTCTCATTTCGGTCCTAACTGTATATATATCATGTGGTCCCTCATAGCGTACCTTACACCCGAAAATTTAGTTCACCCATTTTGGTCAGTTTAACGTAGATGGCGCTTTTCGAGTGTATAATTGTGTATCAGTGTGGGGCTTGTTCACGGTATTAGGACATCCACTTAGTGTGTATCTTTTGAAAATAAATTAAATTGATAAGTTTGAAACATAATTGCTACGAAAGATAGGTAGGAGCCAGGAGGTCAACACTTGTCGAATATACCTGAACTGCTTCAAAGAGGTTAGGTACGTTATAAAAGGATTCCACATTTTCTTGCAATCAATCTAATAATAGATTCAGAACAATACATGATTTCTAGAATATGCTGGGAAAAAATCTTGGAACTGGGAGTTGAAGACCCTCACGCTCACTCCTATAGCTTTTTTAGTTTTAGAAATAAACAAATTAAAGGCTCATTTAAAAATAGTAGGGCATTTTTGGAATAAGTATATCATATTTTTCAAATGGAAAGGGCGTAGCTCATTAGCATATTGCGAAAGAGCATTTTCTTACGAACAATAATTTAGTACCCACCACATAATGGTTTATTCAAATATTGAACTAAAATTTCCCTAAATTATTAGAATGCTAGAAAATTCCTTAATTTAGGTATCAAAAATAAGTGATGAACTAGCGATTGTGTGATATTAAATTGTTTGTTAGAAAATGCTCTTTCAGAATATGCTAATGAGTCACACCCTTTCCATTTGAAAAAATTGATATAATTCCAAAAATGCGCTTCAACTATTTCAAAAAAAGTCTGTAGAGGATATGAAATACTTAAAAGTAAGATCGAAATTAATTTTCCCATGTTCCTTGGTGCAAAATTGAGCAATTCTACTAATTCACGCACATTTTCTGTGGACAGCTGTGGCCTTGTAAGGACACACATTCCCACTCCTTACCGACGTTATAGGGATGTTTTATTATGAGAATACCTGGGCTGACAAAATGAAAAAATGTTAGGTCCTGAGTTATTACCGTAAATAAATTATGTAAAATTGAAGACAAGCCAACTTCAAATCATAAGTCAGCTAAACTTGACTGGTACAGTACTTGAGCTTTGCCAGGTAGGTATAGCTGAAACGTTAGTACCTACCCAATCGAGTTCACCGGAAATCCCAACTTTGATAGCTTATATCTCGAAAACGGCTCGCTAAATTTTTTTGCGGCCTGGAGAGCAATTATTGATCAGCAGGTCATAAACTACAACATATAAAAAATTCAGCCGTTTTCACTGGGACCGGATTTACATAAGATTTGTGCGGGGTCCTTTATACTTGAATTGTATAACCTTCTTGTCTAGGAATGGATTTTATTATTTTATATAGGCAATATTTCTGATCAATTGCCAAAAGATAGGCTATTATTAATAATAATTTATATAAACTGCTGGACAATTGCTTTCGAACAAGGTAAATATCGTTTAACTTTCAAGCTCGATATTTTTGGAACCAGAATAGATATCGACCTGCGGTTTTCAATTTGATTGACTTTTTGTGAAAAAAATTGCTATTTAGAAATTTTTTTAAATGTCTACTTTTTTTTTATACAGGGTGTTAAAAGAGTCCATGATTTTCATCCCAATTTTGAATGTATGTAACTTTCTCAGATAATTGTTTAAATTTTATTTCTATGCGGCGTTTCAATCAATGATCTTCTGCAAAAAAAGTAATTCTCAAATTTTTTATACCCGATTTTTTTTCATAACCTCCACTTTTTTCAACTTTTAACCCGGGATCGGTCGCTACCCTTCCTATAACGCGATCGGTCGCGTGTTAGATTTTATCTAACACTAAGCCCCAGTTGTACAATCTCGGTTCAAAACGAAGTTCAACTGTCCTCGACTGGTACTTGAGCTTTCCCATTTAAAATACATTGCTGTCAGCTATTAATCAAATTCTATCAATTTTGACAGCAATGCATTTCAAATGGGGAAGTTCAAGTACCAGCCGAGTTTAGGTGAATTCTGTTTTGAACCAAGATTGTACAACTGGGCCTAAAAAAAAAATTCGGAATCAAAACTTAAGCTTAAATTTGATAAATGCAATTGAGTCTTGGTATTTCAATCGTAGTTGGTCGCGTAGTTTTTTTTCTAACAGCTAAGTGTACGCTGAGGTCGCGTGTTAGATTTTAACTAACATCTAAGTCATCTTCCCGATATGGCTGACCCTTTTGAGCCAGCTAAGTGCCGATTTGCCATGAGCTTACATAGGACCTCTTCCAGGCATTTCAGGAGGGGGAATGAACTAACGCCACTATTTAAAGTTTTATGTGCATAAAACTGAAAATGTTAGATTTTTTCTAACACCGCGACCGATCCCGGGTTAAGCACCTGAACCATCCTGTACAATATATCTTGCATCTTATCCTGGTTTATTTTCAATGAAAAAAAATACTAAAATAATGTGGTGTCCAGTAGCATACTAATAATCGCCCATTTTCGGAATTATTTATTAATGGCTCACCGAATTTTACATTCAAAGGTGCATAATTTTAAAAAAAAATCATTTAGAGTTTCATTTGTTTAGTCCACTTTAATCATTGACATATTATTAAGAAACTAATTTCTTAAAATTTTGATATTTGCCTTTGTTTTTAAAATATCGTTCATTTAACATAACCATATTGATTTTCTCAACTTTTACGTTCTAAACCATGCCGAATCGTTCTTACCGGTGAATTTTTTCAGCAATTGTCATACCTTTCAGCCAGTGTATTTACTGTGATTAAAAATATCAAATACCTCAATAATATGCTGTTCAGTGGCGTGCAAACAGGAATTATTATTTTTCATTAAATCAATTTTATTAGCAATTGTTATATCTTTCGATTAGCTTATTTATTTTCGATTAGCCGAAAAATCGAAAAAATTATTATGGTTATGTTAAATAAACGATATTTTAAGAGGCCTATTCAGTGAGCATTTCATGGTATAAACGGGGAATAAAACTGACGGAAAACGGCTTGACCAAATTTATTGAAAATTTGGAAATATCTTAGAAATATAATATCGCATCGCGCTACGTCGTCAAAATTTTCGAAAATTTAAAAAAAAAAAAAATCATATTTTGAAAAAAAAATATGAATGAAAAAAATCTCTCTTTAGCGCGATTATATGAGGTATTTTTATGATAATTTGCTAGTTGGAATCATCATTTTTCTTATAGTTTTTTCTCTACATCAAACGCCCTGATATGTGCTGATATTTCGAAAAAATCCCAAGACATTTATTTTTTGTGAACGCGTTGGCAACAGGGTATGGCCATAAGTATTCTGCCTGCCGAACGCCGGCCGCCTCACGGCTCACGTGGCTCACCCTCTCGAGCTGGACGCCGAGACGCTGATGATAGAAATGCGGAGTTTCAGCAGATTCTGATTAAACAATGTGTTGGTTGGTATTGATAAAGTCTATGTATTGAATTATTTCAGAAGCTGATGCGGTTATTTTTTGTGTTTTTTTTTGTGATTTCTGATTGTGTGAAGATTTAAATGGAAAACCATTTTGCATAAACAAACTGTATTGGGATGTTTGTAAATTTTGATCTACCAGGGTTGTTGTCGTACACTCAAATAATAATCTTTAGTAGGTACTTTTAATATTGTATTGTTGTCTTATGAAGCAAACAACCGCAATAAAGAGGCAACAATTTATTAGTTACATCATTGTATGTTACATATTTGCATTCTGGGTCTTTCAAAATGAGCATACCTATTCAAATTGCGGACCAAACAGGCAGGTATAAAGTTTTTTCCAGTTTATGCATAGCACAAAATTACGGATCAAAAATTCTTGGAAAATATTTAATTTCAACAAGCCATGGAAGAATTGCGGACTTACCGAAAAAGCCTACTGTTCCTACTTTTAGTGATTTATCATGTCTTAAAAATAATTGGGGAAAATAAAATTTTCACGAAGCACCTTCCTGATAAAGATTACGGCCCAAATGCTAATTATGTACTCTTAGACCTAAACAGTC